AATTAGCCAGCATGGAGGCACATGCCTGTAGTTCCAGCTACTCGGGAGGCTGAGGCAGAAGGATTGCTTGAGCCCAGGAATTTGAGGTTGCTGTGAGCCAGGCTGACGCCATGGCACTCTAGCCTGGGCAACAGAGTGAGACTCTGTCTCAAAAAAAAAAAAAATGGTAATTGTTCAAATAAAAATAACAATGCATTTTGGGATTTATAACATATGACAAAGTAAAATGCATGATAACAACAGCAAAGGCTGAGCAAGAAGAAATAGAAACACACTATTGTAAAGGTCTTATACTACATGCAAAGTGGTATTTATCACTTGAAGGTAGACTTTGATAAGTTAAAGATGGACACTATAAACCCTAATAAAATCAGTAAAATAAAACCAAGAGTTATGGCTAATAAGTCAACAAGAGATAAAGTATAATCATAAAAATACTTGATTGGTCCAAAACAAAGGAGAAAAAGCGGGAAAAGGGAAATAGAGAATTAGATAAATAGAAAACAAATAGATGAAAGACCCAAACTTAAATATATCAAGAATCATATTAAATGTAACCTGTGGCCTTCTGAATCCTTGATGGTGGCCTTTTGAATTAATCCAAATTTTACAGAACAAATCCTTTTATTAAAAGGAGGTATGAGCCAGGCGCGGTGGCTCACGCCTGTAATCCTAGCACTCTGGGAGGCTGAGGCGAGCAGATTGCTTCAGGTCAGGAGTTCGAAACCAGCCTGAGCAAGAGTGAGACCCCGTCTCTATTATAAATAGAAAGAAATTAATTGGCCAATATATATAGAGAAAAAATTAGCTGGGCATGGTGGTGCATGCCTGTAGTCCCAGCTACTCGGGAGGCTGAGGCAGCAGGATTGCTTGAGCCCAGGAGTTTGAGGTTGCTGTGAGCCAGGCTGACACCACGGCACTCACTCTAGCCTGGGCAACAAAGCAAGACTCTGTCTCAAAAACAAAAACAAACAACAAAAAAAAGGGGTATGGGGGAGGGGGGCAAGGGTAATATACGTAACCTTAACATTTGTACCCTCATAATATGCTGAAAAAAAAAAGGGTGCAGCAGAGAAAGACAAAGCCTTTCTTGCCTCCTTTGGTGCTTAAAAAAGAACAATCTGGAAATCAGAAGACCACAGCTTCCCCACCCTTGCAAGGACAGGCATGGTGGCTCATACCTGTAATCCTAGCACTTTAGGCAGCTAAGGCCGGAGGATGGCTTGGGGCCAGGAGTTTAAGACCAGCCTAGGCTATACAGTGAGACCTCATCTCTACAAAAATATATGAAACGTGGTGGCGCGTGCCTGCAGTCCCAGCTACTCAGAAGGCTGAGGCAGGAGGATCACTTGAGCCCAGGACTTTCAGATAGCAGTGAGCTATGATCATGTCACTACACTCTAGCTGGGGCAACAGAGTGAGACCCTTTCTCAAAATAAACATAAATAAAAATTTTATTTTTTTTTTGAGACAGAGTTTCACTATGTTGCCAGGGCTAGAGTGCCGTGGCGTCAGCCTAGCTCACAGCAACCTCAAACTCCTGGGCTCAAGCTATCTTCCTGCCTCAGCCTCCCGAGTAGCTGGGACTACAGGTATGCACCACCATGCTTGGCTAACTTTTTCTATATATTTTTAGTTGTCCAGCTAATTTCTTTCTATTTTTAGTAGAGACGGGGTCTCGATCTTGCTCAGGCTGGTTTCAGAACTCCAAACCTTGAGCGACCCTCCCTCTTCGGCCTCCCAGAGTGCTAGGGTTACAGGCGTGAGCCACCACCCCAGCCAATAAATATTGTTTAAAAAATAAAAATAAGACTGGAAGGTCAGACTTTTGGGGGAAGGGGAGGAAAGGACATTATTTGAAACCTTAAAATTTGTAACCCCATAATATGCTGAAATAAAAAAATAAATAAAAATAATTTGGGAGGGGTGTGGTGCCGTGCTGGGAGCTGCCACCGTCCCTGTCCAAAAAAAAAAAAAAATTAAAATAATAAATAAAAGATATAAAAAATAAGCTGCCATTACATGCTACCTACAAGAAACACACTTAAAACATGACACACAAAGGGAGTGATATCAGCAAAATAGCAGATTAGGAAGCTCCAGGCTCTGGTTCTCCAACAGAAATATCAAAAAAATAAGCAGAATTGTCAGACTGTGTCTGGAAAACAGCTTTGGAAAACAGTCAAAGGTTTCCAGCAACCAAGCAAGTGTCCAGTTTGAAGAAAAAGCCATCTTCAAAATGGGAGGAGAGTTTTCTGGCATTTTTACTTGCTGTTGCCCCACCATCTCCCTGGCATGGTGGCAGTCTTGGTTGGTCTGGAAGTCGCCACCCAGTCCCCAGTTCCCTCCCTTGAATTGAACCTGAAGGGAATAGAGGAGACTTTCCTGGCAAATTGTTGTGTATATACTTTCTATTTGCCCACCTGTTCTATGTTCCTTTCTTCTTGCCATCTTCTGGATTGACTATCCATTATTCTGTTACCCCATTTGTTTGAAATTTATACTTACTGTTCTTTAGTTTGATATCCTTAACAAAATATTAGTCTAATGTAAAATCTTTTAGAAGATACATACCTTAATACACTTTTGTTTTTGTTTTTTTGAGACAGAGTCTCACTGTGTTGCCTCAGAACTCCAAACCTTGAGCGACCCTCCCTCTTCGGCCTCCCAGAGTGCTAGGATTACAAGCGTGAGCCACCACGCCCAGCCGTAAAACTTTCAAAGATGAAAATGGGTGAGAAAGAACCAAGTAGAAGTGATAGACCTGAGATATACAACAAAATTTGAGAAGACAGTGGACTGAGTTTAACAACACATGAGACACAGCAGAAGAGGGGATTTGTGTGAACTGGAATACAGGTTAAAGTTTATTAAGGCTCTGGGTGGCTAAAGGTCAGGAGTTCGAGACCAGCCTCAGCAAGAGCGAGACCCCGTCTCTACTAAAAAAAGAGAAAGAAATTATCTGGACAGCTAAAAATACATAGAAAAAATTAGCCGGGCATGGTGGCGCATGCCTGTAGACCCAGTTACTTGGGAGGCTGAGGCAGCAGCCTCCCAGAGAGCTAGGATTACAGGCGTGAGCCACCGCGCCTGGCTAGGAGGATCGTTTTGAGCTCAGGAGTTTGAGACCAGCCTGAGCAAGAGCAAGACTCCGTCTCTACTAAAAAAATAGAAAGAAATTAGCTGGACAACTAAAATATATAAATTAGACAGGCATGGTGGCACATGGCTGTAGTCCCAGCTACTAGGGAGGCTGAGGCAGGAGGATTGCTTGAGCCAGGAGTTTGAGGTAGCTGTGAGCTAGGCTGACACCATGGCACTCACTCTAGCCTGGGCAACAGAGTGAGACTCTGTCTCAAAAAAATAATAATAAAAAAATGAAAGTCTTAAATTTCTTGTTCGATTTTAATCATTTTCCCCTCTGTGACCATAGCAAGCATAACTGTTTCACATGGATGTCTGATCATTCTAATATGTAGAGTCTCTGTACAACTGTGTCTATTGTCTCTTATTTCTCTTGAGTCGTCCACATGTTCTTTTTTTTTTTTTTTTCTCTTCTTCCTCCCTCCCTCCCTCATGTCTTGATTCAAAGATGCCTTTGGTTAGCTCAGGGATGTTATTGTCATTGGACTCACAGAAGTGAATGGGCTGGACCCGGGATGGATTATCAGTAGGTAATGAAGCAGGCCTGTACTCACAGCCCATCCCTAAGCCAGCTCATCAGGCCTGCTTCCTCGTCTGCAAACTGGGGTGATAACAGTGCTTTAATCACATAGTCTTCTCCATGAAGAGTCAATGACAGCCTCTGAGTTCCTGGATCCAGTCATACCTAAAACTAGTATTTGTTTTAATTTTGGCTTAAGTCAGTTTGAGCTGGGTTCCTCACAGCAACTGCCTTGATTCCTGCCTGTGTCAACAGAGTGACTGGGAGGTTCGTGAGTGGCAATGCTGGGGCTGAGTGACCCTGACTGAGTCTTGCCAGACCCACTGCAAAGGCAGCAGATGGGGGGGATGTTGAGGCCCTGACTGTGGGGATGGTCCCTCAGTCGCCACTGAGCAGGATTCCCTCCCTAGGTGTGCAGGATTGGGTGGCTCATTTATGTCCAGAGGCCACACGTCCACTCTATTCCACCCCACAGCTGCTCCCAGAGGGGCTCCGTTTCTCAGAGGTGACAGTTGGCTCCTCTGCAAGGGATCTGTTGGGAGACATTTAGTGCTTAAATGGCAACTTTTTCTCACACCATGCTTGTCTGTTCAGTATCCGTCCTGTGGTAGGTACTCTATCTCACTCTTCTCTGGGGTGAAGCTGGAGGGACCCTCCCTGGTGGGAGAATGGGGGTCATAGTGGGAGAGGGGGTTGAGTACAGGGGCCACACAGACACAGCACATTTGTCCTGTCAGGTTGGCCGATCTGGCCAAGTATGTGTACCATCTCCATAAGAATTCTCCTCAGGGGGACTCCTTCTCAGAGGACACAATTGGGGGTCTGGTGAATATTTTTACATCCCCAGACATCACATTTGCCCACACAGATGCCTTTCTGCTCTAGCTGTGCCCTTTCCACATGAGCGGCTCATGGCCATAGAAAGCTTTGCAGTCCTGGGTCCAGATAGGCAAAACACCCCCTCCAGGGACTGACTGCAGTGTAATGCGTGAGATATACTGACCTCCTGACAGAACCCAAGCAATTCCTTAACCTCAGTTTCCGCATCTGAAACTGGAGATGACAACTCCCACGTGAAAGTGCTGTGGCGATTATGAGTCAATATTTGTAAAATGCTTTGGAAAAATCTTGGCACACAGTTGTTGGTGCTTGGAACAGTGCCTGGCACACAGATGGTGCTTTAAAAGAACTTAGAATAGCAAAACCTGCCACATGCTTGGTTCTCAAAAAGCACTCAGAGCAGCATCCATCACACACCTGGCATTCGACAGGCACACAGAACACAGGCATAAAACCGTTGCTTCGTAAGTACACGGGAAATAAAAACCCACGCTGCTGAGTGAGGACTAGACTGGCACTTTATATATATACACACACAGTGGAAGGGACAGGGTCTCGGTAAGAAAATACACTCTGTGTTCAGGTGAACCCCCATCATCACCCACGCAGAACACTCCAAGCTGAGGAGAGGGAAGAGGATGACCATAAATAAAGACTAGGAGGGAGGGTTGCTGCTCTAAGGGGCAAACACAGGCGGGAGCACACTGCCGGGAGGAGACAGGACCTCTTCTTCCCGGAGAGAGCAATGCAGCGGCACAGGAAAACAACAGCAGCCACGACTAAGCCTGCAATGCTTGGCAGGGGCTCCTGACACAGGTAAGAGAATTGGGGTGGGGGACACAAGAAGGAAGATAGCAGAGAGGGCTTCCTTCCCTGGGGCATGACCCAGGGCCCCTCAGTTAACATCCATGAACTCAGAGCTGGGTGGGGAACCGCAGGCAGGGGAGGTTGAGGGGCCAGATGAGCCGGGCTGGGACAGCAGGCGGCGTGCCACATCCTGGCGTTGGTAGAAGAGCACGTACGCTGCCTTGGACTGCGGGGAGAGGACAGGAATCAGTGTGGGTTTCTGGGGCAGGGGCGGAGCCAAGATAAGGGAAAAAAGGCAGAAGGGAGGACAGAAGTCGCACCTCAATCTGGTTCTCATTCACAGGGGAGACACTGTTGTCATCAAAATAGTGCCACTGGCCGCTGTCCTTGTTGCAGGCAAATGTGGTGTCTGAAAGGGAGGGAGAGTGATTATTACCCATGCTCCTCCCCTGCCCCTAAGAGGTACCCAGCCAGACCCACTCTCTTACTCCTCCCACTCTGATAACCTTGCCACTGGCTCACATACCTAGTCATCTACTGGGGATATCCTGACCTCCCAGTCCAGACCCCCCACCCAGGGCATGCCCCTGCCCACTGCCTGGCACTTACAGTGTCCATCACGCATGCCCCCATAGTGGTTGGAAACCGCGATGAGGTCATATTTGTACAGCTCTGGAGCCGACTCATTCTGCGGTTTGATGACAAACTCAGAGAAGTCCAGGTCCCTGTGGTGGGGAAGAGGGTTAATATTGGTGGCCCCCAGCCCCTGGCCCTTCCCTTGCCACCCCTCAGCCACCCCCCCCCCCGCCCCTGACCGGATGGGAAACTGCACAAGGGTGTCCAGCTTCTCTCGGGAGAACTTGGTATACGAAAAGCGTTTCAGGTGGATGATGAGAATCTCAGGCAGCATCCACAGATCTAGCTTCTTGGTGGCCAGCTGGTGCTGCTTGCAGGAGGGGCAGTACCTACAGACAGAGCCCGAGTCAGCAGACATTGCCTGGAAACCTACCGCACGCCCTTTGTACTGACGGGCCTTCCTGCGCCGTGTCCGGCCCGCAGAGATGCTGCTCTTACTGTCAGCCTGCCTGGTACTCTAGTTTACTCTCTTCCCATTAAAAGCCTTTCATTCACTCATCAAGTACTTATTGATTGCCTTTTGTATGTGTTTTCATACTATTTTGTATTTTTGTTTGATTTCTGGTCCATGAGATGCTAGTCTTATTTTAGAGTCTGCCTCTATCCCTGTAGTTTCCTCTCTTCATATTTCAGTCACTCATTCATTCATCATTCACCAGGTATTTAATGACTGCCCACTGTTTAATCCTTCCACACTATTTTCTATTTCTGTTCCATTTCTGCCCCATGGAGATGCTGCTCTTATTTTTGAGACTGGCTTCATGGTTTTGGTTCTCTCTTCTGGTTTACTCTGCACGTTCTACTGAGCATCTATTGAACATCCAATAGTACTAGAAGCAGTCAGAAGCGAAACACAGTGACCTTCGAATCTCCACCCTCAAGGAGTTTACACTCAAATGAAGATGACAACACATAGGACATGACGTCAAGTGGCATTAACTGAGCTAGAAAGAAAGGAATGCTCGGCTAAGAAGAAAAGAGCACGGAGGAGATGGAGAGGTGACAGTACGGGAGCATGACTTTCAACAGGGAAGTCAGAGGAGGTCTCCCTGAAGAGGTCACGTTTTCTCAGAGACCTGAGCAAACAAAGGAGTGAAGTCTGTAGATACCTGGGGGGAAGACACTCCTGAGAGAAGAAACAGCCTAGGCAAAGGGTCTGAGGTGAGAGTATGCTTGGGTGTTGCCGGCCAGGGTGGGAGGGCAGAGGACAGTGGAAGGAGGTACATTTAGAGAGCTAACAGGGGCCTGGGCAGGTAGTGCCACCCAGTGAAACCCCCACAGACCCCGTTCTGGCCCCTCACCAGGGGTTTTCCTTCTCCAGGGTCTCCACAGTGGTGAAGAGCTCAATGCACTCCTGCAGCCGCACCGGAGCCTTCTTCAGCACGTACCCAACGCATTCGTGCTTCACGTAGCCCTGAGGTGGGTGAGCAGAGGCCGGATGGCCGGGTATGAGGAGGGGTGGAGAAATGGGGAGTGGGGGTGGGAGACATGCTGAGTGGGTCAGAGCACAGATTCTGAAGCTAGGAACCTGAGGCCCTGGAGCTGTCAGCAAGTGTTCAGGTTCCACGGCCAGGTTGGACCTGGACCTGGATCTCATGGCTCTGTTTCCGGCTGGAGGAGTTGGGGGGAGGATGTGGGAAGAGTTGAGGGGCAAGAGCTGAAAGCGCCCCCCTCCCTGGGATCCCGTTTACCTCAGCCTCCGCCTCATCATAGTAACGCTTCTTCATCTCCGGCTCCCAGTCGATGGCAATGTACGGCTGGGCTGGGGGTGAGCGGAAGGCGGGTGGTCATGGGGCCTGCTGTTGCTAGGAAATCCACCTCCCACCTCCCTGACCCTGGCTCACAGCCAAAGCAGATACCATGGACTTCTTCAGGGGAGTTCGTGCGGTCGCTGGTCCCATTGGAGTTCACCGTCTGCAGGGTGAACAGTTGCTTGCGCCGTCGCCTTGGTGGCCACTGAGATGTGCCAAGGCAGTTGTCCAACAGGAATGGGCACCTGCTAGTGACCCCAGAGCTGGGCCCAGGCTGCTCTGGCTCAGGGTCTCGGAGGCTGCCCCCAGTCGAGGGCCCAGGGATGTTGTCTTTATCCTCCTCCTCCTCCTCCTCGTCTCCTAGAACAGGGAGGATGTCAGAGATGGGAAGATGTGAGCCCCAAAGGGCTCAGCTGCAATGCACACCTAGACAAACCCTGTGTGGGTCAGACCTATCCCAGCTCCCCACCGACCCTCAGCCCCTCACCCCCACTCAGGCCATGGGACCACTTGTACAGACCCTCATCATCCTTGTGAATCCTCTCTCCCTTCTCTCCCTCACCTTTCTCATCCCCATCGTCCTCATCATCTGAGCTGGGTTTGGTCACGTAGCGTCTGCGACAGAGCACAGGAGACTCCCAAGGCAGGGGCACAAGGACAGTAGGGACAGAACCCAGGATTTTACTTTGGTGATGATGGGAAGCCACTGGTAAATCGCATGTCAACAGTTCTTAATTATGGGCCTGGGAGGTCCAAGGGGCCAACGTGTAAATGCAGGAAGAGGCCAAGGCTGTGAGCAGGGGCCTTAGCATGCAGGATCTCGGGTGCCAGCCAGGAATGTGGACTTTCAGTCGAATCAGCCGTAGGTGAACACACACACAACCAGCTGTAACTTTCTATTAGGGAAGGCCCCTGGGGAGTGAACTTTTGAGTGTAAAATGAGGAAGAGAAGGCTAATCCAGACAGGTACTGCTTTGTCTGCCATGGTAAGGACTCTAGATTTTACACACAATGAAAATCTATTGGCAAAAACACAAATAACCAAATCTTTCCCAGGAGGAGACAACTGAATGAATATAAGGCGGAGTTGTGTGTGTTTTGTCAGTCTTGTTCACATCTGTGACCCCGGCACCTAAGAGAATCAGCAGCGAAGCCAGAGGTCGATAGAAAGAAAAACCCTACCCATTCTTCTATGGCCACGTTGTTTGAACTGTCTTTTGGATGTTGAAGGGGAGGTGTCAAATAAGCACCTAAACACCCAGCTCTAAGTTCCGACCCTCCCCCCGTCCCTGGGAAGCAGACACTTACGAGAGCCGGTACATTAGGACATTATACAGGCCCTCCCAGGAGAAGCGGTCTCGAGGAACTGACACCAGGAGCGGGTGCCCGAAAAGCATCAGGCCATAGTAAGAGTTGTTGTAGTCGCGGGCAGGGGTACGCTCCCGCAGGTAGACAGGAACCACTATATCCTCTCTCGAGCCCTCGATGGCCTCAATCCGACCTGACACTTCATAGCTGGGGAGGTAACAGCAGGTCATAACTGATCAGGGCCTCCCCAAGACGACTCCCTGACTCTGCTCCAGTTGATCCACCCACTCACCCCTCACAGCCTGAAAATATTTTTAAAAGAGTCTGAAAGTCATCATATGTTTTGTGCTTTCCAAATTGTGAGATGATCTGTTTAGCACTTTGTTTATGTGTTGTTTTATAAAGTACTTTGGTGTTATCAGAGTGCTGAGTGTCATTTTTAATGACAAAGGGATTTAAAAACCATTTTCTTTTTGGAACATACTGCTTGGTTTACAAAGACCTTTTCTACTCATAAGGCACTATTTTAGTTCTTAGTTACCCAAAGATTTAACGATTTTTCTGAACATTCTATGTTCAGAAAGTATCTTAGCAGTAACCTCCTTTTGGTAACGAGGAGGGTAATGCTCAAAGATACCCTGTATAAGGCTTTGTCACCTCATTCATTGACAACCCCAAGCCCTGCCAAGGCATGTGGCTCAAGCTCTGTGCAGGGCAGGTGCCCAGTGAATGAGGCAGAGGAGGGAAGAGAGAAGGTGGCTGAGGCAGGGCTGTACAAAAGGAAGCACACAAAGTTCCTAAGGAACCACCATCTTCTCTTGGTCCCCTCACTCACACAAAGATGTCATCTCGGTCCAAGATGGTGCTCAGAGCCTCCTCCAGCTGGTAGAGCTTATAGAAGCGGTGACTGAAGACATCAGCTACCATCATCTGGGAACGAGATGCAGAGAGGGGGCTCATCAGTGTACACGGTCTCCCCAGCTCCTCTGCCTCCTTGCCCGAATCCCACCCGGCCTCCGTCAACATGTCTCACCCTCTCTGGAGAGATCCCCGTGTGTTTGGACAGAGCCACACATAGATCCGAGATTTTGCCTTTCTTGGGGACCACGAGCCGGTGCTGAGGGAGAAACAGCATCCACAAAAGATCAAAAGGGCTTACAGTGAGTTAATGCAGGAAACTTTGAGGTATAGCAGAGTAATCAAATTCTGACTACATGTCCTTCACTGTGTTCCCATGTCCCCTCATACCTGCTCTGGCTTGCGGCGGGGATCCATGGGAATAAAGAACACTTCCAAGACCCTCTTGTGGCTGACAGGTAGTGGGACGCTGAGGTAGCAGAAGGGGTCGAAGGTCACAGACACATTGCCACAATCGGGACATACCAGTGTGGACTTGAAGAGGCCATGGAAAGTGTCCACAATCACAGAATCATTCCGCCGTTTGTGGTTTTGCCATGCCTCCTGAGCCACCTCCTGTTGACAGACAGTATTATGATGGGTGGTGGGGCTTGCCCGGGGCAGGGAGAAACTATGGTTTGGGGTGGATTCATATGGGGTTAAGTCCAGAGGCAGTTACGGCTAGGGATACCTGGAGACTACATTCTCTGTCAAGACTGAGGTTGATGTGGGCAGGACACTGGGCTATGATTCATTGGGTTGGATGTGGGGGCAGATGTGGTACTGGAGCTAAGGTTGGGACTGAGGCTGGAGGTAAGGTCAGGGTAGAGGAACTTAACAGAAAATGGACTGTTGGATATCCAAGGTAGCCAGACTCCCTAAGGCCTTAGTGGTCTCAGTAGGACTCTCAGAAGCAACCCACCTGATCTGGCCGCCCAGCAGCATCACACAGCTCCACATACTCCTTCTTCTTGACCCGATTGAGGTCCTCGTGCAGCCCATCCAGGAGAAATGACAGTAGCTCCTGTGAGTCATGCTGCTGGTAGCCCAGAAACTGGGACGCAAAATGGCCGACCTTGGTCTGAGATGGGCAGGGCCGTCAGAGTGAGAGGAGGTTAGGAGAACCAAGAGAAGTAGGGGTCAGGGGAATGCCCAGGGTTGAGTCACACCTTGAACACATGAGGCACAATGGAGCGGTGGTGGCCAGACCATGCCTGCTTCACCAGGTCCGCATAGGCCTCTGCGATCTCACCCTTCATACCCAGTGGGTTGCGGAAGTTGAGCTCCTCTAGGTAGCGGTTGTTGAGGAAATACTCGGTGAGCTGCGGCACGTTGCTGAGGCACTGCACGGGGCAGGGGCCAGGTGAATGGGGCAAAGAAGGAGAGACAGAAAGTAGCCAAAGTAAGGACAGAGAAAAGGAAGTGAGGAAGGAAGAGAAAGTAAAATGGGGGATAGAAGAGAGAGGCAGAAAAGAAAAGATCAGGAGAGTGGGGAAGAGGCAGTATTAGTATTTCATGAGAAGAAAGAATGTGGTAGCAGAGGAGAGAAGAGGGAAAGTGAGGGCAAGCGGAGGGAGAAGGTATTGATATTTCAGGAATGAATGTTGAGCATGGTTAAATTTTTTTTTTTTTTTTTTTGAGGCAGAGTCTCACTTTGTTGCCCAGGCTAGAGTGAGTGCCGTGGCATCAGCCTAGCTCACAGCAACCTCAAACTCCTGGGCTCAAGCCATCCTTCTGCCTCAGCCTCACGAGTAGCTGGGACTGCAGGCATGTGCCACCATGCCTGGCCAATTTTTTTCTATATATATTAGTTAGCCAATTAATTTCTATTTATAGTAGAGACGGGGTCTCGCTCTTGCTCAGGCTGGTTTTGAACTCCTGAGCTCAAACGATCCACCCGCCTCGGCCTCCCAGAGAGCTAGGATTACAGGCGTGAGCCACCGCGCCCGGCCAGCATGTCATTTTAGACTTATGGGGCCTTAGCTTTCTACCCAACCCCTTGCCTTGCAGTCCCCCCAGGTCCCCTGGGTCTGTTCCCAATCCACAGCTCTTCAAGCCCACCCCCACATCTCTGCCAAACATAGCTCTAATGGCCCAACCTGCAGAGCCGAGTTCATGAAGCATGTGTTGCCCAGATTGGTGAGGCCACAGATGCCCGGCTGGCCCTTGAAGCCCTCATCCTCTTCTGACACGTTGTTCCTAGAGTTCGATGAAAAACTATCAGCTGAGGGCCTACTATGATACATGTGGGTGCGATGTGCTACAGGTTCAGTCATTTTGCCTACTGTGGGATACCCCAACTCTGGACCAGATACCCCAAAGGCTCACGTGGCATGCAGCTGTGCACTGGGCCAAGTGCCGTCTCTGTTTCGGGTCTCCATAATGACCAACTGGGTTGGAGGAAGAGAAAGAAGAGAAGGAAAGGCATCACCAGAGGGCCTTATGGGCACCTAGATTTCACTTCCCCCAACCTGAGTACTGCCAGGTGAATCTGCCAGTCCACCAAAGCAAAAAAGCCCTTCCCACCCTCACCTGCCCAGTCTCGAGGGCGGCGTCAAGCACTGTGACGTGTGTGTCACACAACCGATCCAAGGAGCCTTCTGAGTTCTTGATCCAAAGCCGTGTGTCTTCCTTGGGGTCCACCTGAAACTGCTCCCGAGCTGTGCGCAATATTAGGTCTGTGGAGGGTGATGGAGCACAATTCAAGGTCTTCCTGAGGCTCAAAATGAGACCCATCTTGGTATCGCTGACTCATCCCTACAGTCCTCACATACTTGGTCAACACCTGTGTTCCCAATCAATCTCCGAATGACTGACCCACACTCAGGACTTAAGCCCCCCGCCAACAAACATCCTCTGCCACACCATCCAAGCTACTAGAACGCAGCTCACATACACTCTCAGTGCCTCTGCACAACTTGACCGATGCCTTCTCAGCCAGCCAAAGTCCAATCCCATGCATCCTCAGGTCACTGAGCTATGACCCATAGCTGGGAATGCCAACTCATTCCATGACCCTAAGACTCACCAAGTGAATCTGCGTGGCTGAATTGAGCAGTGTGAGGTGTGTCCATATCACTGTGCTGAACAAGCAGCAGTTCTACTGGGTACACCTCAACCTTCTGGATGCTGGGCAGCTCAATGACCTGTAAGGGCAGAGGGGTGTATACACAGGTATACTCACACAGACACAGGCACTATGACCTCTGAGATTAGAGGAGGACACACACTGGCTAACACACATAGCATACAAAGCCACATATACAAAATGGCCTGTAAAAGGAGCCACACAGTGGACACACAAGATACCTGTATAATGAGCTATGAGGGGGAAGGAGCACACACATAGGCATATCTACCCAGCATACATGGATACACGTGTATACATGGATCTGGACCCGTTCTGGGCCTACAAAGCTTTCCTCCTACCTGACCTCACCCAACTGTTCATGGAATCTACGCTGCCCAGCACCCTCCCCACCCACTGTACCTTGCGTTCAATGGGTGGCTGGCCATGTTCTAGACCATACCAGCTGACCAGGTAATGCCAAGCAGCTGCTGGGAGCAGCACATAATCCTCGCCTTCCACCAGTCCCTCCTTGAGGCGCCAGTTTATCTGATCTGTGGGGAAGGGGTGCGGGTGGCAGAGGAAGAATCAGAGAAGGAAAGTGATGAATAACTCTGGCCACCCCCCCAGTGACCTAGCAGAGAGAACGGGCTTATGACCATTTGTAGGGACAGAGGAGACAAGAACTCAGAGGCTAGGTTGATGTGGGGAGGCAGAGGCCTGATACCTTCAAAGAGCTCAGCATTGTTGATACAGCCAGGAAAAGTGCTGGAATCCTGGTCCCCACCCTGCACGTACACCTCCCACTGTTTATACCAGTGCTGCTCCACAAGGAACCTGGGGCCCAGACAAGTAACACAAGTGTTACGTTGTTATATGAGACTAAAAGTATCAATACATTATAATTCAAGATGAAAAGTTTCAGCATTATGTAAAAATAAATAAATCAGAAGCAAAATTTATTCATTGAAACTCAAGATTTATATGTTAGATTACTCTAAGAGACTTGATTAAAAACAGAAAATGTATTCAATGGCAAGCAAACAAAAAACCCCATACCCATAATGCTAGGAAACATGAGGTTTTATTACAGAATAAAAAATAATTCATTTGTATTAGTCTATGAGATAACACAGTTAAATCAGGCTCAAGGAATCTGTCACCTGCAGCTGTTAAAAGGCTGTAGCGATTCATTAAGTGTGTACCATTTCTAGAGCATGTATCAATGGAGGCATAATTCTTCAGCTAAAAATTAGATTTGATAAATTGTAAAAATCTGCTCAGACATTGAAAAGAATTTAAAATGCTAAAAAGAATCATAAGATTTTCCTTCAAAAACTGTATTATCACCATTTTTCAACATTTTTGTATTTAGGATTTGTTTTGGCATTATAATAGATTTCAGAGCTTCTGACTCCCTTAACACATTTTTTAGCATACAGTTGTTAGCTCTCTTTTAAAGTAGAAACGTATGCCCTCCAAGGAGAAACATTTAGGACTATGCCTTTGTAAAATGTTAAGAAATTCTTAGTCTGGAAAATATTCAACATACAGTAAGTGCTAAACATATGTTGCCTGTTTTATTTATTTATTTATTTTTTTCTTTTTTTTTTTAAAAACTTTCACTTTGTCCAGACATATGTTGCCTGTTATTGTTCTGATCCTAGGGCTTGGACACAAAAGCTCACATACCCACAACCCCCTCCCTTTCACATATACAAACCTGTTCTGCTATAATATTTCTGACAAATAAAAGGCTGTCCCGATTATTTAAGTGCCTCAAATAAATATTAAAAAAACCAACAAAATTGATGAAATATACATAACATCCTACTGTTTGGTTTTCTAGCAATTTAACCTCATAAATGTTAACTCTTTAAAATGTCAACTTTCCCTTGTTCATAAAAGGATCAGAGGTGGGAGGACAGAGGCATAGATAAATCTTGAATAGTCACAAGTCACCTGAATAGGCACACATTTCTGCAGGGTTTTTGCTGGCTTTGTTTTTGGCTGCACTCCCCCTATCACCAACCCTACCCTGCAACCAAACACACCTTCATCCCCCTTTGTGGCTTTACCTGCCTTCATAGCCAGCCTACAAGGTTAATTTATTCAGTAAAGCTAATTTTTGGTTAATGGTACCTTCAAACCAAGAGAGGTACTACTCCATTTCTTTTTTTTGAAACAGAGTTTCACTTTGTGCCCAGGCTAGAGTGAGTGCCATGGCATCAGCCTAGCTCACAGCAACCTCAAACTCCTGGGCTCAAGTGATCAGCCTTGCTCCATTTCTTTTTAAGAGCAGATTTTAGGGCGGGCATGGTGGCTCAAGCCTGTAATCCTAGCATTCTGGGAGGCCGAGGTGGGAGGATCGCTCAAGCTCAGGAGTTCGAAACCAGCCTGAGCAAGAGCGAGACCCCGTCTCTACTAAAAATAGAAACTAATTGGCCAACTAAAAATATATAGAAAAAATTAGCCAGGCATGGTGGCACATGCCTGTAGTCCCAGCTACTAGGAAGGCTGAGGCAGAAGGATTGCTTGAGCCCAGGAGTTTGAGGTTGTTGTGAGTTAGGCTGATGCCAGGGCACTCTAGCCATCTAGCCAGGACAACAGAGTAAGACTCTGTCTCAAAAAAAAAAAAAAAGAAAGAAAGAAAGAAAGAAGTACAACTGATCTTGATAAAGTCACTTATATTTATTTGTGCTTCATCAAATTTGTTAAAATGATATGTAATATGAGCTTATGGAAAGTAGTTACTAAACAATTATTTTCTGTCTTCTAGTTTTTCTCTTGTGTTTGGAGAAAACTGGTTATTTTGGTTAAGCTAATAATTTACATTAATGACTATACCATGTACAATAATTAGAGACATAGAAATATGGATGTTAGAAAATATGATTTCCTACTTGTTTATTAAAAGGTTGTCAGTTCAGATAGTAAATGTAACAATGCTTTATTAAATTTATTATTTATATATCTGTGTAAGCCTAAACACATACTAGTAAATCCTTTGCTGTAAATTGTTACATGAATTATGTACCAAAGGAGGATAATTAGAATTTGGGTCTTTTTCTCAAAATGATTATGTTCCTTCTTTGTCACCAAATTATTCTATTCTATTAATCCTTGGTGCTTTTTGATATACTCTTGTTTAAAATATCTTAACTCAGTTTTGAAGGGATTTCTTGCTTTAAAAAGTTAAGTTCCTAATAACCTTTGTTGTTTATTGCTGTGTTTTTACAAAGTTGACTATAAATATCTCGTCTTTACTTACAACTTACATCTTGTCTCTTCCAACTATTCTTGAGTTGTCTTCTAAATTCAGGATAACTCTGCTTAAATGGTCTTTTATGCCTAAACTATTTTTTGGAGATTTGCTCCTTCACCCATAAAATGACAATAGAAATATCACATTTACCCAAAATTCTCCAAATTTTAATCAGTCTAAGAGCTTTCACCTTTCAAATATAAAAAACATGACAAATCAAAAAGTTTAACTTCCTAGATTAATCACATATATGTGATTATTAGATATGCTAATATATCCCTTTCCTTAACACATCTAGGCTTAATCTCCTACAACACATTGTTGCTTCCTCTTCATATACACTATCCATTGCTGCAGAACTCTAACCCAGCCACTCTCCTTCCTTTATCTCAACAGGAAGAACCCATGACGGTTTACCGGTGTTAGAAAACTATTCACATCCTGTGCAGACCTGGTAGAGACTCTCTTGGCTTTCCCTGATTTAATTGTTTGTATTTTTTGCTTTTGTTTTTGAATTGTGTTTGTAGATGGTTCATCCATAAAAACTAAAAATTTCCAAGGAGGCTATACTATCACAGATTCAAATTTACTGTTTGTTTGTTTGTTTTTTTTTTTTTTTGAGACAGAGTCTCACTTTGTTGCCCAGGCTAGAGTGAGTGCTGTGGTGTCAGCCTAGCTCACAGCAACCTGAAACTCCTGGGCTCAATCCTACTGCCTCAGCCTCCCACGTAGCTGGGACTATAGGCATGCGCCATCATGCCCGGCTAATTTTTTCTATATATATTAGTTGGCCAATTAATTTCTTTCTATTTATAGTAGAGACGGGGTTTTGCTCTTGCTCAGGCTGGTTTCGAACTCCTGACCTCGAGCAATCCGCCTGCCTTGACCTCCCAGAGTGCTAGGATTATAGGTGTGAGCCACTGCTCCCGGCCACAAATTTACTCTTTAAATATAAGCCTCTCCCAGAAATTAATAAATCAGTTCAGATGACCAAATTTATTAATTGCCCTTGCCCAGATCTGCAAGCTGACAAAAGACAGAAGGTGCAAATGTTAATACTGAGACAAAGTATATGATTTAGGGTTAGTGTGTGATTGCAAAATGCTTTATAAACATTTATTTCCTGACCACTGCTGCAAATCTCTACAAAATGAACAGCAAATTAAAGAACCTTGAGATGATTTGTGCTTATCTAAATAGGTAAGCATTAAAAAGGTAGAGTTTAGCAAAACTGCTTCATGATGATACCCACCATCATAGCAGAGACAAACTGGCTTCAGTACTGAACCAACACTGGTGTGGTAATTTTTTTTAATAAGGTGAAATTCACATAACAAAATTAACCATTTTAAAGTGAACAATTCAGTGGCATTTAGTACATTCACAATGTTGTACAAGCACAACCTCTACCTGGTTCCAAAACATTTTCATCACCCCAAAAGGAAATACAGCATGGGTGGGGTAATTTTAAAGAGTACTGTCAAAGATGACAGGATTTCATGTCCTATCTACCAATGATACAATCAAGGCTGTAAAGGTAGAAGGCAAGAACTGAAGCCTAGAGGCCCTTTTGAATATCTTCTGATGGGCTATAAAATGTTCCAGTTATTGTTTATTTTCAGGATGAAATGAGACTTTTCCTTACTGGAAAGCTATGACGTAATGGTAGAAAAACATGGCTTGGGTTTATATTCCCGATTTGAGGAATCTCAATTTATCTTCCCAATAACAGGGATACACATTTTACTGGTACTGTTATTAAAGCACTCTGTAAAGTGAGCAAACCTCACTCAAAAAGGCCCTAAGGTTTGATGTGTTTCAGGAACAGGAGTCCAATATGGCCAGCCCAGAATGGAGAGACGGAGGGAGTGGGTAATCAGAAAAGAAATCAGAATGGAAGCACAGGACCAGCTTCATAAAGACTTGCTAGTCACTCACTGTAAGGATTTTAGCATTTACACAGCAGGAGATGGGAAACTGTGACAACGGTTTGAGGAATAGACATGATCTATGTTTGAAAAAGAATTACTACATACATAAGGAGGAAAATGGTAGCTTTACAGTTGAGAAACCTGGCAGACACCACCGTAACCAAGTGACCAATCATGTCGTGTGGATACTATGGTACCTTAATATGATCACATAAGGATCACAGTATACATCCAGCATGATTTCATATATATGCTCCATATATATTAAGTGAAAGCTCAGACAACAAGTATTATTTAGGGATGCATACAGTGGTGGCAAAACATTAAACAAAAGGAAGAAACTGTTCACTCAAAATTCAGGTTAACAGTTTTCAGTTTCCCATGGAGCAGGGAGGGAAATTTCCATCTAGGAGGGGTACAGAAGGATTTCTTAAGGTAATATCTTAACCTGGGTGGTAAATTCACACATTTTTATTATTCTTTAATTTTTTTTACTTTGAAATACTCACAAAAATGGCAAAAATAATACAAAGAATTTCCCTATATGTCCTTCATCCAGATCCTCCAAATCAAACATTCTACCCATTTGCACAATTGTTTTCTTTATATGCATTTTTTGGAATTTTTATTTATTTTAAAATTGACAAAAATTCTGTGTATTTATGATGTACAGTATGATGTTTTGATACAGGTATACACTATGGAATGACTAAATCAAGCTAATCAACACACCCATTGCGTCACGTCCTTATCTTTTTTTGTGGTAAGAACATTTAAAAATCTACTCTTAGCAATTTTCAAGTATACATTATTATTAAGTATAATCATCATGTTGTACAATAGATTTCCTGAACTCATTCCCCGTCTAATTGAAATTTCGTATTCTTCGACCAACATATCGCCCTCACGTAGATTTTCACATATGCTAACTTTCAACCATTTGAGAATAAGTTGCATATATGATGCTCCTTTACTCCTAAATTTTTCAGTACGTATTTCCTAAAAACAAGGATATTCTCTTTCTTAACCATACTACAATGACCACAATCAAGAAATTGGCTAATCTATCCCTTAGTCAAATTTCACTGATTTTCCATTGTTTTTTACAGCAAAGGAGAAAAAAATAATTTTATGAGAAAAATCCTGAAAAATAACTTATTTTTTTCCTGTTCCAGGATCCAATGGAGGATCACGTTTCATTTAGTTATCAAGACTCAGTAAATCGCATTAAATCCTTCAATCTGGAACAGTTCTTCAGCCTTTGTCTTTCACTACCTTAACATTTCTGAAGCGTACAGGCTGTTTAATAGGATGTCCGTCAATCTGGGCAGCATAAACGTTTTATAAATCTTTTTAGGTCTTACTTATTTCACAATTAAAAAACGAGATGCAACTCGGCGAGAAATAAAATGAACCCAGAGGCAGTAAATTTCAAGCAGCACTGGTCAGCAATCAGTAAAACAAGGCGATTTATCAAAATACGCATTGATTTTTAAAAATAACGACTTTTTCCTCGTTTTAAAAACAAAACACTCCTGAAACAGAAAACAAAATATTGAAGGCCCCTCCCGTGCTAATCACCTGCACTTTCTCCCGACCCGGGAAAAGCCTCGCCGCATCACAAACTTTGCTCATCCGCAAGCGCCATTTTCTGTCTCATAGGCACCACCTCCCCTTTGCCGTCCTCCCTCAACCTCAGACCACGCCCCTCGCCCTTACGTCACGGCCTAGCCTCGTTCCCAGGCGCCAGACTCCAGCACCACGTAGGCTCCCTGCTCCCTCCCCCGGCTCACAGCCGTTTGGCTCCGAGTCTGCTCTTCTGCTGACGTCAAAAGGCTCGCCCAGTTCGCAGACGCCCCGGAACAATCCCAGGCTGCTCCCGCTCCCAGACGCTGTTACGCAGCGCAGGCCCCGCCCCACAGCTTGCGTCAAAGACCCCGCCTCCTTCCCAGGTTCCAAGATCCTCCACGCAGGCTCGGCCCCACCCCCATGGCCGTTTTCTCTGAGGCCTCTCTCCCCGCGATCCTAACAACGAACCCCATTTTGTTCACTGGCGTCAGACTGCACCACACAGGCCCCGCCTCCTTCTGAGTCGTTCCGATTCATTCACAGGCACTTCCCCGCCCCTCTCGCCCTAGGTCCCACCAACCGGTCCCCTGCCCCCACAGCAGTTCCCCCGCCCCACGGCAGTTCCCCGGTCGCCAACGCCCCTTCTGTCCCCTAAACTGAGGCTCCACTGCAGCCCAGCCTCACCAGCTTTCGCCAGCCCGCAGTGGACGCTCTCGCCCACTCTCGCCGTTTTCGATCTGGCGCCGCTGGCTGTCCAGGCCTGGCACCATCTCGCGCTGTGGCTGTCTGTTCTCAGCCGCAACCGCAAGAGCGGCTGGATTCACCGCGACCGCAGCCATCGCCGTCTGTCCTCCTCTCACAGCCAACGCAGCTGGAGATAGGAAGACGCCCCCCAACTGCCACTTCCGGATTCTGGTCCCGGAAACGGAAGCAGAGCCCCCCAAACAGCCGCGAGGCTACTGCCATATTGGAAATGGGCCCCAAGCGCAAACGCCTCAAAGGGCTAAGCGGGCATCGGACCGTGGGCAGCGATGTCTGTGACTAATAGGTGGGGTAGGACTTTCGGTGGGAACTAAGACAAAAGTGCCTTGTGGGATTCTAACGCCACGTTGAGTTAGGGGAAAAGGTTGCGTGGAAAGCGGAGGTTGAGGTTCCCGAAGTGGGCGAGGATCACTACCCCAGGAGCAGCGTTTTTGTTAGCCTGACTGAACTGCCCTTCCTTCATTGCAGTACCCATCTTATCTATAAAAACCCAATGCAAAAGCCATCTCTACCCCCAGAGACTCACATAGGCCTGCAGGCCATTCTTTCCCTTCCTGAACTAGATTCATTTTCTCCACAAACCTGTTGAAGGCAAGACAGTTCCAGGCCCTGTGTGTTTGTTTGTTGAAGTCAGGGCAAAGATAATAGTCTACCCAGTTTAAGTGTTTTATTGGACTTAAATAGTTGGCTCAGGTACTATCCTTGTAACCCATGGAAAACAATGGGTAGTAGGGTAGTAAGTGGTGGAACTATGGTTAAAACCCAGAAAATCTGCTTCCAGAGTCGTGACCTTAAACACCAGGCTGGAGAGTCTCAAACTTTGTGTTCCCAGGCTGTCTTCCAGTCCAGGAATCCTCCCGGGATTCAGAGAGTCAAAACTGTTTTCACAATACTTCACTGTCATTTTCTCTATCCGTGTACAGTGGAATTATCCAGAGGCTACCTGACATAGGCAAAAAACCTCTTTGGGTTGTCCTCAATTTTTAAGACTATAAAGGGATCCTGAGACCAAAAGTTTGAGAACCACTGTACTGGGCCAGGGTTTCTCAACCTCAGCACTATAGTCATTTCTGTTATGAGGAGCATTACAGGATGTATAGCTGCATCCCTGGCCTCTACCTACTAGATACCAGTAGCACCCCTCAGGACAACCAAAAGTGTCTCCCTCCAGACTTTGCCAAATGTCCTCTGGGGGAAAATTGTCTCTGGTTGAGAACCACTGAACTAGGCTATGCTATCCTTTTCTCTGCTAGGGCTCCCAGCCCTTTTGGCAATGACCTTTATATTTCCCTCTGACTCCCCCAACCTGGCCATCCTACAAAATCCCCAAGACAGTCTCATGATTCTGGGGCTGTTTCAGCGACTTCCTTTGCTATCATCCCCCAGTGGTTCTTTGCCCACAGACAAGAATAAACCTTGCCTTTCCACACCCCTAGGCCCATGCATACTCAGGTCTCTCTCCTTGCATAATTTCAACCCTCCCTTCTCCCCTGGCCCTAATCTCATAATTTACCTCTTATTTTCAGTTAACCTTTGCAGGGCAGGAATTGTCTTTATTACTGTGATTCTGGCCCCTAGCTCAGACCTGGCACAGATGAGGGGTTACAACCCAGTTGTGTAAGCCCTGAAGGAAAAAGGGGAACAGCCCTTTGACTTAAGGGTCTCCAAATAAAGTGGCATTTGAGTTGGGTCTGGCACATGGCAGATACCTGCTCTTCAAGCATTTGCCTGGCCCTGCACACCCCACTTCTGTCCGGAAGGCTATCATTGGCTTTGCCCAAGATGGTGGAACTAGGGCTACAACTCATAAGACAAAGGAACTCAAAGCCTCAACTATCCTTATACCTGAGGGCAAGTCCTAGGCTGTGCCATTTGATCTCTGGCCTCTCACTATTCCATCCTTCCCGGGGTCATGTCACCCACACCCAAGGTTTCCATTACTTCCTAGACACCAATAATCCAAACTTTCAGCTCCATCTATGGCCCCACTCCCAAATTTGATCCATGTATTAAAGGATACCTACTCAGTGGTCCAAAATCTGCCCTCTACCCTTCTCTCACATTCCCTCTCCAATTAGACCTCTTCATGGTGTTCTGGTCAGATATGTGGTGGTCATACTGAGTCTTTTTGTCTCATCTCCCTGTCCCTGGTTCTATTAGACCTTCCGGTATCTTTCAAACAGCCTCTCTACACACTCCTGCCTACACCCTCTATCTGTCTTCCTAATATTCTAGAGTAAATCTAACTCCCCTCTCTGCTTGATTCAGCTCATCACTATTCAGCCTGCCCTACCTGCTTCAACTTGATGTTCCACTGCTACGTGTGTAATCCCTCACATGCCTTTCTCATACCTCTCATGTGTCCCTGGGCCCACTTTCAGTGCTCTCCTAGACAATGGGGACCAGGTATGAATTCTACAAGGTCCCAGTAATCATCCCAGCTTGAGGTATACACTCCTTAATACATCCCCCCACAGGGATTTGCAATCAGGCTTTTCACTTTAGACTTTTTAATATTTCATACAGCGAATATGGTGCATTCAGGAACCCAACCCCCCAATCCCCATTAGGAGGGCTCCCACCCCTGCCCTCCCACCCCGTTTCAGGGCCCCAGGGCTTAAGGTGGAGGAAGGGGAGGTAACCACCCATCCAGGAACTGACCCCAGAGACTGTCCCTGCCCTGTCTCACCCTCCCTAGGGGTTAGAGGGCAACACCTGGGCACAACCCCTCACATATCCCTCTGACCCTGCTTGTGTACATATACACACTATGGCTCCTCACTGAGTTGGTCAGTTCCTAGCAGGGCCCCTACTCAACAGCACCGAGTGGGATGGGAGCAAGAGGGCTGGGCTGGGGAGACCCTGAGAAGGAAGGAGGCCCCGGCTACGGGACTGCAGGAGGGAAAGAGTGGGGCCCCCCACCTTGTCCATTTCCCAGAGTCTCCGGTAGTCCCCAGATCCCCCTGCAGCTGGGGATGGCAGGCGGGGGTAGGAAGGCGAGTGGCTGTGGCATGCTTTCCCATAGCCGATCCCAGGGTCTGGTGATGGTCAGGGTTCCAAATAGGGGCTGTATCCCTGCCTCTGAAAGGCTGGGAGCGGGGCTTCATTGCACAAAATACTGTGAGAGAGCCACACACAGGGGGTGGGGCCCAGCCAGTCTGTATACAGAGATATTGCATTTAAAAAAATGAAAACCTCATTTAAAATAATTAAAAAAAACAACAATGAATGAAACAAACAAACAAACAAAAAAGGCTCACACAACATGAGGCAGGTGGGGCAGGCAGGAAAGCAGGCACAGGGGATGCCTCAGACCCAAGGCATCACCACCATCTTGTCTGAGTTGAGGTCCCCAGCCTGGGCTAGCTCCAGAACCCTGGCTGGCCGTGGGGTAGTGGTCCTGGGTAAGGTATGACGAGGAGGGGTAGGCCTGGCCTCAGTGTGGGAGGCTGGCACGGCCATGCTGTCCGCCGGCAACTACTGAGACGGAGACAAACAGACAGACCAGGTGAAGGAGTGATGAGAGCTTTGTTAGCACCCAGCAGACAGGCCAATGGGTGGGTTGACAGGCCAATGGTCGGGTGTTCGGGTGGGCAACAGGGGACAAGTGGGCAGGCGAACATGGCTCAGGCAGGTAGGCAGGCAGCAAGCAGGGATGATACAGTTGGGGCTGCCCTGTGAGGGGTGTGGCATCCCTCCAGCTGCTGCCTGCTGGGGCCTCGGTCTGTGGCTTAGAACTCAGCTTAGAACTCGGTGTCCACCACGCGGAAAGCTGGCCTGCCTGCGGGGGAAAGCAGAGCGGATGGCTGTTGTTGGGCAAGCAGGTAGGTGGATAGGGCAGGGAGAAAACAAGGGGCCACACCTACCTGAGTCAGGCATTGAAGAAGACCGAAGGTTGGCCTCCTTTTGTAGCTGAATCTCCTTTAGTGCAAATATGGAAGTAGCTGTGAGTGGAGAAGATACAGAAGTGGAATGACCCATGGAGCCATCCAGGACCAGCCCCCATATGATCCCATTGGGAGAATTAGAAAAAGTTGCCCCATTGAGAGGCTTGACTTTCATATGTCAAATAATTCCATATACAAACCAGCTACAACTAGGGAAGAGGGAATATGGACCATTATATGACACAAAGAAATCATTATTAATTTTGTCAAGTATGCTAATGGTATTATAGTTACCACCTGTTAAGTCTAGGTGAGGGATGATGTTTGGGATCTGATTTATATATTAATCTAGTGGGGAGATAGGGAAAGTGGGTCAATTTTTTTAGCTGTAATACTGTTATGTTTAAAAAAATATTTTAGAGGTATATGCTGAAATTATTTATGGATGAATATGATATATGGGATTGGATTTGATTCAAAATAATCAGAATATAGATAAAACCAGATTGGCCACAAATTGATGACTTGTTAGAGTACTTAGGGACTCATTAACTTGTCTATTATATTTAAATTAAAAAATATCCATATTAAAAAGTTTTTAAAAGCCAGATATAAAAAGAGAACATTCTGTGTGATTCTATTTCTATAAAGTACAAGGACAGGGAAAACTTATTTATGCTTTTAGAAGTCAAAATGGTAGTTAAGGCGGCCAGGAATAACTAAAGGAGATACAAGGGAGCTTGGGGGGGGAAGGGGATCCTAACGTTCTGTTTCCTGATCTGTGTGCTGGTTACATGGGTGTGTTTAGTTTATGAAAATTCATTGCATTGTATACTTAAGATTTGTACATATTTAGCATATATAAGGAAATGTCTATTTAGAAAAAGATTTTTATGTATGTTTGAAAATTTTCATGAAAAGTAAAAGGAAATGAAAACTAAAAATTAATTTTTTCATAATAAACATAATCCATCACATATGTGATCAAGGATATCCCCCTGCTTGAGACAGCATAGCCAGAACCCTACACAACCCACCCAGCTGTCCCCAGCAATCCTGTTCCCCACAGTCCCTGCATTGGCTGGTCCTTTCCCCAGCTCCACTCACTGTCAGGAAGTTTGTGGATCCGCTCCCCCAGACTGAAGAAGAATGGATGTTTCATGGCATCCTCTGCAGAGATCCGATTTCGACCCTCAAACTGAATTGAGAGGGAGGGGAGTATTAGAATGTTCAAGTAGTAGGTCTCTCTTCCTGTCCACCTCAGACCCTATGGGGGGGGGGGTCCTTGTTCCCCTACACCTGGAATCCCTTACCCCCAAGGCTGACCCAGGAAGGTGGTCTCACCTGCAGCAGCTTGGTGAGGAGGTCAGCCCCGTCGCCATCAAGTCTATCACAAGGACAAGAAGAACCTGCATTAAATTGAGTTTGGGCACTCTGGCCCCTAATGCCCATGTGCCCAACCCACCAGCCTTACCGGGGTGCATGGCTCAAAAGGGACTCGGCTCGGTACTTGGGGTAGTTGTATGTCTTAAACTCCTCATTGGACAGGATGCCTGGCCATGTGTCCTCAGTTGGGGTTCCTGGCAGGAAGAGGAGTTAACTCTAACATGTCACAGGTCCTCCCTGCATGTACCTCCAACTCCTAGGGTCATGCCTCCTCACCTAAGATGCGGAAGATGAAGTGCAGCTGTTCCTCAACTGTGGAGCCTGGGAAGAGTGGCCGGCCTGTAGCCATCTCATAGAAGATGCAGCCCACACCCCTGGGCAGAGAGGGCACAGTGAACAGGGAGGCAGTTGGCTGGGTGGCTGTTATGACCAAACCACCCCCTTTATCACATATCCCTTGCCACACTTCCACCTGTCCTCACCACATGTCAATCTGGGTGGAGTAGTCTGTGGACCCAAGCAGGATGTCAGGTGGCCGGTACCACAGTGTCACCACTTCATTGGAGTATGTCTTTGTTGGGATTGACTTGGCCCGTGCCAAGCCTAGGAAGCAGAGAGAAGCAGCCAGAATGAGGAGGTTGTTGGCAAGTCTGGGGAAAGTGTAGCTGAGACTGAGGGCACCCTAGGCAAAGTCTGGAGAGGCTGAAGGGAATGAGACTATGTGGTCACGGGGAGCAGGAAAGCTGGGATAGTAAGGCTGGAGGATCAATGGTAAGAAGGGGGAGGCTGACAGTACCGAAGTCAGCCAGCTTGAGCTCTCCCCTCTCGTTGATAAGCAGGTTCTGGGGCTTGAGGTCTCGGTGTAGCACCTTCTGCCGGTGGCAGTAGGCCAGGCCACGGAGCAGCTGGAACAGGAACAGCTGGGGACCCAGGAATGGCAGGCAGAGGTCAAAGAATATTCATAAGCCCAACCCCCAGCAGGCACTGCTCCCCTCCCAAACACAGACACTGAGCCCAGAGCCTTTTTTTTTTTTTTGAGTCAGAGTCTCACTCTGTTGCCCGGACTAGAGTGCTGCGGTGTCGGCCTAGCTCACAGCAACCTCAAACTCCTGGGCTCAGGCGATCCTCCTGCCTCAGCCTCCGGAGTAGCTCGGACTACAGGTGTGCACCACCATGCCCGGCTAATTTTTTGTATATATATTTTTAGTTGGTCAATTAATTTCTTGCTATTTTTAGTAGAGACGGGGTCTCGCTTTTGCTCAGGCTGGTTTCGAATTCTTGACCTTGAGTGATCCGCCTGCCTCGGCCTCCCAGAATGCTAGGATTACAGGCGTGAGTCACAGCACCCAGCTGAGCCCAGAGCCTTGTTACACACAAAAGAGGACAGAGTCCCAGTGCCCTCCAAGGGCTCCCAGGAAAAAAGCCAAATGGGAAAAGTCCATTTCTGGGAGATCTGTGAGGTGGAGTAGGTGAGGCCCCCCTTCTCCCCCTACTTCCTGCCCTATACCCACTTTCACGTTGTGCATATTGATGACGTTCCCACAGTCATCCAGGTACTGCTTCAAGTCCTTGTCCTGAGGAAAGAAGAGGTGGTACAGGAATGAGGGTTACATCCTGTGGCTCCTGGTCATTTTGCCACCTCCCACCATGGGACCCACTGCTACCCAACCTTACCAGGTACTCAAAGACAAGGGTGAGGGACTTCTCCGTGTGGATAATGTCATGCAGCGTAACGATGTTGGCATGTTTGAGGTCCTTGAGCAGAGACACTGCAGGAAGCATGGGAGTGGGATGAGGGAAGAGTCAGGGTTTCCTTCTTTCCCCAGGCACTTTGGGGTAATGCCTCACAGCCAAAGGCTCTAACCCACCCTATGCCAGAAAGAAATTGTGTCTCCATGTTCCACATGTGGAAAATAAGGCTCAGAGAAGAGTACCAAGCAAGAACCTGGGATTACAGCCCCCAGACTCGTGACACTTGATCTTCAGACTATTTTTAGTTTCTGGAAAGGGGCCTTGCTCCAACTTTCAGTACACAGGCCTACAGCATTGTGTGAAACTGGATTGGCACACTCAATTTCTATGCAATTCAAATCCATTTCATGTGATATTCTGACTAGAAACTGCTGTGGCAAGTAACTGGTGAGCACTTTCAAGGATGCTCCCAGAACCAAAGAAAGTACCTGGTTTGCAATTCCTCCACCTTTTCTCCAAACAAGAATGAAATCCTGGTTACTCTGATTATTACTTGAATATATGGGTGACAGACATTCTCATGAAGGCCAGAGTGTTGGGGAGGGGGCATCCCAGAACCCCCAGTCTCTATTCTCAGCATGGAGAGAGAGAGAGAGTGTGTGTGTGTGTGTGTGTGTGTGTGTGTGTGTGTGTATGTGCGTGTGCACCACAAGGAGCGTCCGGGGGCAGATGGGATATGGGTCTATACCTTCCCGGATGGCGGTGCAGGGTGCCCCCTCTTCATGTTCCAGTCTGATCTCCTTGAGTGCTACAAGGTTGTCTGTGAGCTTGCTTTTGCCCTTGTAGACTGTGGCATAGGTACCCTAGAGTGTGAGGAAGTATGATAGGAGAGGTGCTAAGAGATTGCAGAGAGTTCCTACTAACCCCCATCCCCTCCATGGGCCTCCTGGTTATCCCTCTCACCTCACCCAGCTTGTCCAGCTTGATGTAGGTCTCCAATTTCCCAAAGCCAATCTCAGACTGTAGATTAAAGAAGGCAAGTTGAAGCAGGCTCAGGGGAAGGGACTGGGAGAGGTGGAGGAAAGAACAGGAACAGAATATGCTCACCAGGCTGACTCGACGGAGGCGGCGGCTGAGGGGCTTGTCAAAGATGGGGCTATTGAGAGTCAGCTTCTCAAGGTAGCCCTCAGGCAACCGGATGTCAGCTGGTAGCGATAGTCGCTTGTTAATGTCCTAGCATGCAAGACAGGGGAGAAACAGGACCATGAGTTCCACCTCTTCAGGTCCAACCCCTTTTCCAGCTCCTCCACCACCCAGACAGGGGGTTAAGCACCTCGGTGGAGATCTTGCGTGGGGGATGGTTGCGCATGCGCACCCTCACTGGAGACTGCACCTCATCCGAGGATGTGGCCGAAGCCTGGTCACTCTCCCCATCAGACCCCATCTTCAAGTCCTCGTGCACAATCTCTGGTGGCGGGGAGAGGGGGAGGGCAGGCCAGGTGGGGTCAGGAAGCCCAGGACACCCCCACCCTCACACAACACATTCCATCATCACACACATATGTGCACATGGCTCCTGTAGCAGCCGGAAGTCCCTCAGGGAGAGGGTAGTGGGGCCCAGGGAAGCTCAAGACAACAAAAGTCACCTAGTGGAGCACCCCATTCCAGGGTCAAGCTGAGGCTGTAACTGACCCAGAGCCAGTAGATAGGTGGTATCAGAGGTAGCTAATGGGCCTGGGAAGGCCTGAGGGAACCACTACAGAGTACAGGAGAAGGGCAAAGAGAGCCTTGGGGCAGCTGTGACAGTCAAGGCCTTATGCCTAGGGCCTGGGCATAAAGCCAAGGAAAGAGGCACAGATGGACAAACAGACAGAGGGTACTGAGAGAGGATGGGAGATAAAGTAAAGAAGAGTGTACATGGGGGGCAGGAAAGGGAAAGAAAATAAAGAAAGGAAAATGAAAATAACACAAGTCTAAGTAAAAGGAACTTGGCCAGGAGGTAGCACCTGGGAACCAGCCAGGGGGCAGGGGAGAGGGAGCAGTTAGTGGACTCACCTGGTGCAGAGCTGAGTGGGCCTCGTCCAGAGCGAGGTTCCCCAGGGGCAACATGGGTGGGGACCTCTCCAGGGTCACTGCCACCACCACCACCACTCTCATCCAGGCCTATCTGTTCAGGGGCACCATTGGTCTTGTCTATGCCTCGGCCACCTCGGAGTGTCATTGACAGCTGCCGTTTGATCTTCTTCATCCGATCCATGGTGACCTGATCAAGGGGCATGAATAGGAATGGGTCTCACATGAGCATCTGCTTGACCACCATGGGTTCCCTAAAACCCATGACAACTTAGTGGGGGATACTGACATGAACTTATGTCAGGGCCCACCCAACCACTATGGACCCCTGGACCACTCAGGATTTCTGGAAACCCACAGCCAGTCCCTTGGGACCCCGTTCCTAAGTAGCCCACCTGGCTCAGACTTGAGCTGGCTGAGGGCAAGGGCCCAGTTGGTAGATTGGTGGTCTCTGGTGGGAGAGGATCACTGGGGCAACAGAGGACTCCACAGCAGGTGTCATCAGGAGCAACAACAGTGACGAACCCAGTCGAGGATGGGATAATGGGCTCGTTGAGAAGTGTGGTACTACTGATACGGCACACGGGACGCCCATAGGATGGCATGTTCTGATGGTACCAGCTCCACATCGTCCCCAACTGCTTAAGCAGTGGCCACAGGGACCCTCTTAACTCCCCCAGTAACCATTGTCGTGGCAACTAGTGGACCACCCCACTGGTCTACCCAGGTAGGGGGTTCCGGAAGAAAGGTCCTGTTCAGACCCAACCACTGGGTGGGATTTGTGGGGGGGTGGTCTCAATACACATCAGCTGTCCTCAGGGCTGCTGGAAGGGTTTGACTGGGTTAGAACCCCTAGGGTCTAGCCCAGACTTTTTTTTTTTTTTGAGACAGAGTCTCACTTTGTTGTCCAGGCTAGAGTGAGTGCCGTGGCGTCAGCCTAGCTCACAGCAACCTCAAACTCCTGGGCTTGAGTGATCCTTCTGCCTCAGCCTCCCGAGTAGCTGGGACTACAGGCATGTGCCACCATGCCCGGCTAATTTTTTATATATATATCAGTTGGCCAATTAATTTCTTTCTATTTATAGTAGAGACGGGGTCTCGCTCTTGCTCAGGCTGGTTTTGAACTCCTGACCTTGAGCAATCCGCCCGCCTCGGCCTCCCAAGAGCTAGGATTACAGGCGTGAGCCACAGCGCCCGGCCTCTAGCCCAGACTTTTACAAGCCAGGTCACATTTCTCCTTACTTGAGAATGTCCTAGATCTCCCTTATCACCCAAATAAATGTCTTGGTCCTCAGTGTTTCACAGGTCTTTACTCCATTGGCCCATGTTACCTCTAGCCCCACTTCCCCCTTTATCATTCCTAGTTGTTCTGCAACCACACCCAGCAGAATCTCACCTCAGGGCCTTTGCACTGGCCATTTCCACTACCTGGAACACCCTTCCCCCAAATTTCAAAATAGTTCACTCCTCTTCCCCTTTAGGACATTGCTCAAAGGTCACCTTTTTCATGAGGTCCCCATAAATAGCTCTATTTAAAACTCAACCATCCCTCACCTTGGCAATTATCCCCCCAGCACTCATCACCTCCTCAGAAATGACACCATCTACTTATTGGTTTCTTTAATCTTTACTGTCTGTCTCCTCACTGCCACAACTAGAAGATCAGCTCCGCCAGGGTACATTTCTGTTTAGGTCACAGCTATATCCTGAGGACCTAGAATAGTGACTGACACAGAGTAGATGCTCAAAAAATGCTCTTGTCAGAAATGAGTGAATCAGGGGTCTGAGGGCCTCGGACTAACCTCTGCTGAGGTGGTGAGTCCCTGCTACTCATGAACAACCCTAAACAAGGTGGCCCAGTGATGCTGGCATGAACAGGAAGATGACCTAGATGGGCTGCTGGAGGGAATGGGGCCACTAAAAAGCTTAGGCCAGCCTTCTTCTGCTTACTCCTGGGCACTGGATCAGCAAGGAGGGGGAAAGACCTGGCCCAGGAACCATCTGGACTCACAGCAGGGCCTAAGATGGCCCTGGGCCCAAGGGAAGTAGAGCTAGATAGGAGGTCGAGGATGAGGCCGGGGCTGGATTCAAGGAGAGAAATGGGTCATCTGTTACCATGAAATCAGGTGTTTACTCCAGCAGTTCCTACCCCTGGCTTCACTGCCTCCAGGAAGGGTAGAGGGGCCAGTACAACAGAAAGACCTCAAATAGAGGATGAGATCCATCTACAAAGAACCCAGGATAACAAGAAAAAATTCCAACCTGGGAGGCTGAACACTAGACCTAAGGCTGAGGTAGGTGAAGCATGGCCAGCTCCCAAAGATTACCTTGTGTAATCTCCCCATATGGCACAGATACCTAGTTGCTTTGCATGTTGTGACAAGGAATTGGAGAGGCTGGGGGATACTGTAAGTAGAACTGAATGGGGGATGGGGAGAGAACCAGAAGGAGCCATGGGTCCATGATCTGTAACTGGAAACTCCAAGGGTGGGACACGTTCCAGAATTCAGTTTGGGGGGATTTTAGGAAAATGGGGTATAATATCTGTATATCACAAAGCACTCACAGCGGGCGGGGGGCCCAGCCAAGTCTCTGTGAACAGAGACACTTGAACATTTATATGTAGCAAGATTTTTAAATATTATCATTTCAGTTATCTTGAGTTTTTTGGATTTCAGAATAAGTGAAGGAGGAAGAAGCTGGACATACAACTTCACCTCAAAAAGGGCACATGCCCTTCCTGATCCCCAAGGACACACACCATCCTTAGACTACTCTCATACTCAAGGATTCTTGCCAGTTCATACTACAACTACTAAGGACTCAGTCATCACACTCTACTGCTCCGATAAACACAAACCTCCTCATTCTGTCCTGATTGCCATTAGCACACACTAGACCCTCAAGAAAGCCCCACTACATCTTAACTCCTACTAGTACCCACCATTTCCCTATTTATCTCCATATCAGCATTCAAAGCTGTATAACATCACCTGAACCCTGTTAGCATACACTCAGCCCCCTGTAGGTTACTCTTGCCACCATTCTTGGGACTATCCTTGGCCTAGCTACAGGTTAACTTCTCCATAGCACTGACACCCCCCCATTGTTCCCCCTCCATGATTCTGACCCCTATTAACATGCACTTGGGGCACTCTACAGCTGACCCACATTAGCAGTCACTGGACCTTCACACTGCCCTGAATCCCATTAACCCAAAGTGAACCTTGCAGATAAGATCCCCGACCAGTTTGCCCACACTGAGGCCCCTTCATCGCTATGACCATCATTAACACCCATTCCATTCCTTCCACTACCCTGTCCCCTCCATCAACACAAGCTGGACCTGCACTCCACCCTGAGCTCTATTAGGGCACCCTGGGTCTCACAGTCCTGCCTCCCTATTAGCACATCCTGAATCCTTACTCAATCCTATTCCCCAGGGACACACAAACACACTGTTCTATAATGGTCTGACCTTCATTAGTGCATACAGGTCTTCATTCAGCCCTGACCCCTATTAGCACATACTTTCTGCCCTCCATGGCTCTAATCCATTTTCACACCCCCAAATCATCACATATTTCTGTCCTCTGCTTCAACCCCCCTACAGCTATAACCCCTGTTAGTTCACACTTAGATCCCTTTATATCCCTGATCCCCCTTATTACCTTGTTACACACTAAATCCCCTCCACAGCTCTACACCCATTAGCACTCCCTGGGAACTCATGGACAGTCTTCACAATGTTCTGATGTTCACTGGCATATCCCAGACCTCACACTGCTGATTCTCCCCCCAGTGACACACATTTAAGTGTCCCTATGGCTCTAAACTTACATTAGCAGTTACTAAGAACTTCATGTTACCCTGCCCCTTCCTAGCATGTCCTGGAGTCTCACAGTCCCTGTGTTCATGGACACACTCACTCCACCTTGACCCTTAGTGCACTGAGCCTCTTAACAGTCAGTGCTAAGGCACTTCCCTCACCACCACCCCTTTCCTCCCCACCTATATACACAATTCTCATACCAGCGCTGGTTCATTCTGCCCCATTATACAACCTCAGGTCCCTCCACCACTCTGACCCCATTAGCATATAGTGGGCCTCACACTACCCAGACTTTTATTACCACAAGCACACACCCTCTACAGCCATTACCCCCACTAGCGCACACACAACCCTGCAGTCCTTCAACTACCTGCCCTCCATAAGCACACCCTGTACTCTCACACATCACAGCCCTTCATGGAAAAACACACAGCATTAACACCATCCCGATCCTCATCACCACACAGGAGGCCTCAGAGCCCTGATCCTATTAGCGCACATTCTGGTACCTCTACTACCCTATCCCTTATTAATACACATTGGGCCTCTCCACAGCCATAACCTCTATTAGCGTATCTTGGAACTTCTCGACACCCTACCCCTTTTATACACCCTCAGGTGCCACCGCCTGCCCTGCATTCCCCCTTCCATTAGCACACACTGGGCCTTAAACTTTACACAGCCATAAGGCGTATTACTACATGCTCCAACCCCTGCACAGCTCGGGTCCCCTTTAGCAAACCTCGAATCTTTCACCACTCTGCCACCCACTTCCACACCCTCTAGTTCTTCGATCAGCCTGCTCCCCATTAGCACCCATAGCACTTCCCATTCCCAGCTCCCAGGACGGGCCCAGGGCGGGGCCAAGGTCAGGGAGGCCCCAAATGACCCCCGCCCCGATGCATTCTGGGAAACTCGCTGGGGGAGGGGGCACCTGCCAGCCAGGCAGCCCTGACCCCCGGGCGGTGCTTGGGGTTGGGTTAGTTCTGTAGGAGGTGGGGCAGCCCCCAACCCACGACTCGGGGACGCGCTCACCGGCGGGGGCGCGCGAGCAGCCTCAGAGCCGCGGGGTCGGCGCGGCGGCGCCTGGGGCGGCGGCCCGGGATGAGGCCGCGCGACCTCCTCCTCCTGTTCGCCGCAGGCGCCCGTCCCAGTAGTCTTCGGCCATGGCTGCTGGGCCCGGGCCGCCGCCGGCTGAGGAGGAGGAGGCGGCGGCGGCGGCGGCTGAGGCGGAGGCGGCGTCCCGCTCAGCCGGCCATGAGCTTGGCCGCTGCGGGCGATGCCCCCGGGCTCGTTGGCGCCGGCTCGAATCCGAGTGCTCACGGCGGCTCGCGGCTTGGAGCCGACTGCTCGCGGAGACGCGGCGGATCCCAGGACCGAACAGCCAACGGCCCAGCTGCCGCGCGCGCCGCGGTCCGCGCATGCGCACGCACGCGCTGGAAAGGGTGAAGTGGAAAGGAGGGGACTCACCTCGGACTGGGTGTACCAAAAGACCCGTCCGCAGCGGGAGGGGGCGCGGCCATTGCGCGCCTGCAAGGGAATGTGGCGCTGACCCTCGAACGGCGCCAGGAGGAAGTGTAGAGGCGGTTTGATACCCAGATCCAATCTTGCCAGAAGTTTGCTAGCGCTGAGGTGAGCAGCAGCCAATAACCTGGCGTGCTAGTCACCACTCGCTGCCCCTACTCGGTCTCACTTGGTACATCCCCATGGTGGCAAACGGGACTTTTGCAAGGAGGAAGAGAAACGAGGCAGTAAGTTCTAGTCTCTCGAGGTGCCTTGGACGGCAGGAATTTTAAAGGTTCGCGAGATGACTTTTCTAGGAGAGGCGGCCTGGATAATCATTGGCCTTTACCACCTTAGATAGGACGGTCTAGCCCCGCCTAACTGCCGCCCTCCACCGCTAGCTCATTCCCACTGTGAACGTGTGCAGCCCCGCCCTTTGAGGTTGTCACCCAGCCAATCAAATTTGCTCCCTGCGGTGAGGCAGCGCAAGAATGAAGGGCGTGGCTGAGTTGAAGAGGCGTGATTTCACGCCCTCCCCGCCCCCGCCCGGTTTTCATTGGTTTTTACAGTGGGGGCGACTACTTTTTACTCTGAGCTTCCGTTTCACTATAGGCCAAACATTCCGCAAGGTGATTGGCCAAAAGAGCGCTCAATTGGGTTTTGTCCCCCCTTAAATGCCCCTATTTCATACAGCGGTCCTCCTGAGGCGGAACCTAAGCTGAGAAGAGAGGAAAGAAAGGCGGACCCTTAGAAGGGCGGGCTTCGTTACTGCGCATGCTTGTAACTTTGGATTGGGGTGGGGCTTCCTTCCACCACACTAGAGTATTTGCTTGTGCACCCGAATAGGGTTTTCAGGCTACCTCTCAACTGCCTCTTCTTGCCCACCACAGCCCCTTCCCGTGGCTCCCCCAATCCGCGGTTTTATTTCCGTTTTCTTTATTGGGTGCCTGTTGCGTGCTAAGCACTGTCAAACAGACCTAATCCCTCACTCCTCTCTGCCTAACTCCTACACTAATTCCCAAGTCCTGCTCAAATGGCTGCAGCCTTCCGCAGACATTCTGGAACATACTTATACTGCTCCCCAGTTCAAAGGCAGCCACCACGCCTCTTCTGGACTTCCCTTTATGGCAGCCTGGGCCTACCAGTTAGGATTTTCAGTGAGATTTATATTAGCAAAGTTTTCTTGGGCCATGATGGGAGTGGAAATACTTGACAAAGACCAGTCTTCACCGCAGCCTAGAAGATTGGGTCATTTAACTGACCTCATCTCCTACCCTTCCTCTCACTCACTCCAGCCATACTAGCTTCCTTTGTAACTGTTCTTGAATAAGGATAGCACAATCCAGCCTCAGGGACTTTGCACTTACTGTTCCTTTTACTTGGAAAGCTCTTGCCCTAGATCCACATGCCTCATCCCTTCACTTCTTCCAAGTGCTTACTTCAAAGTCACCTTCTCTAGGAAGCCTTCCCTGACTACCCTTTTTAAAAATTCCAGCTGGGCGCGGTGGATAGCACTTGTAATCCCAGCTACTCAGGAGACTGCAGTGGGAGGATTGCTTGAGGCCTGGAATTCCAGATCAGCCTGCCAGCCTGGGCAACCTAGCGACCCCATCTCTAAAAATAAAAAAATTCCTACCTGCACCCTCATCATTCCAGATCCCCAGACCTGGCCCTATTCTTTACCTTTGGACGATAGCACTGATCAACTTCTAACATACAATTTACTTATTGTGTTTATCTCTATCTTGGGTCTCATCTTAGCAGAACACAAGCCCCAGGAGGACAGGGATCTTTGTTTTATCCACTGCTGTATCCCAATGTCTAGAAAGTGCCTGGCATACAGCACTAAACAAATGTTTGTTGAATGCCTGAATGACACATAGTTCCAGGCACTGACAAGAGAAACCCTTGTCCCACTCTTCTTTGTGCCCTCTGGGTGCAAGGGGCTTAGTGCAGTAAACCAACCCCCACTTGGTGAGCCCTGGCCTCCTATAACACCTGGCTGGTGTTATAATGCAACCAAGATTCATAGGTGACTTAGAAGCTGGTTTTGATGGAGAAGGGTGTCAGGTGTAAGACATCAAGGGGACCCAGGAGCTGTGGTGGTGAAGAAAAGTTATGTGGAAAATTAGAAGCTGTAATGGGGGAGGTACAGTGAACAAGGTGTTGATAGAATACCAGTGAAGAAGCTGAAATAATGGAGAAGGCAGGCAGAAGAATAAAATTTGTGTGCAAGGCCCAGCTGCTATAATGGTGGGGACAGTGGACAGAGGTGTGATATATCTGGGGCACTCTGGAGCAATAATAATGGGAACGTGTCTGTTATGGGAAAACCTCTCTCTCCTCTAAAACCTTGACAGCTAGCATCACCACTAAATAGATAACAGACATAAAGTGCTTCTGTTCCCAGTGTCCTGGTGGACAAAGAACTAGGGAAGGATGAGATCACCTAAGCAGAGCAGGCCAAGAAAAAAGTGGTCAGGAGAGTGAGGTGGGCAAAGGCATATACTGTGCCTGAAGCTTGGAGCTAACCCCAGGAGGTAGATGTGGGCATAGGCTGTGAGGGGCACATCAGGCCAGGTTCAGAAACAGGTTGAGCTATTCCCCTCAGGTTTGAGTGGAGGAATACAGGATCTTGTTTCTAAGTAGGATTAGAAAATTTGGTGTCTGGCTAGGTGAGGGACAGAGGTATGAATGCTAAGCTTGGGCTCCAGGAGCCAGTACCAATGGAGGAAAGTACAGATGTGCAACAGGCCAGCCAGACTGGTGCTTTCAGCTGTCTGGAGTACTCAACCAAGACCATGGACAGGGCATGGCAGCTCTGCAGTCCTGGTGGGGCTCATGGTAAGTCTCCTGCTACTTGCTCTATGAGATGAACACATCCCCCTCAGCCCCGATAACCAGCTCTCCTCACCAAGGTAGGCCTGAAGACCCTCAAAGGAGTACAGGCAGACCTGGGGCCAAGGGGGCAGGGTGAGGTAGGAAGAGGCTTTTCCTATATAGATGTTCTTGGCCAAGTATTTGCATAAAAACTGCCAAGTACTACTGAAGGCACTGGCATTCCTCAGCCCAGCAGAGCTGCTCAAGCACCCCTTGTAGAAAGGAAATTGAACTAAGAGCACCACAGGTATTCCTGGTGCCAGGAACCATGATTGTAAAGGCCCATTCAGAGTCTTAGTGCTTTGAGCCAGGTGGGAAGGGATCTGCCCCAAGGACATAAGGGATGCTAACAAAGGCCTGGCATCCTGATCACTACAACTTTCCTCTGGAGGGGGGGGTGTCAGGACATGGAGAAGGTGAGAATTTGAACCCAGCTTAAATTAATAAAGTCACATGAACCCAGGTACCTGCTCTCTATGGCCTCACAGGTGCCTTCATTTCTTCATAAGCAGAGAGGGCAGGAGAGGTGGCGACTCCCACATTTTTCTGCCCAGGAAACTGGCAGCTGGGGTGGGACTGAGCCTCTGGGTTACCGTCTGAACCAGACAGCTCCAAGAAGCCCCTTCCTTCCCTGGAACCAGCAGGGCAAGCCATATCAGGGTTAATAATTCTTTATTAGGATTCGGATTCCAAACAAGGTAGAAAGCAGTGGCAGGAGGGGTTCAGGAGGGGGATGACAAGGGAACACCAGGCTTGGCTAGGTGGGCCACTGCCAGAAACCAAACAGGAGCCCTGGGCTGGAAGGGGTCTGGAGAAGGGTGGACTGAGGCCAGCCTAGAGGAGCAGATGGGGGTCAGCGGATGGTGTATCGTACATAGGGGACCTCGACGTCCTCGCCGCTCTCGTCGTTGCAGCACAGCTCAAGCACCAGCGCCCGCACATGGCGGCCCAGCTTTCGCTTCGACACACGGCTTACAATCTCTGTCATCCTAGGGAGTGGGGGTGGCGGTGGGGGGTTAGGAAGGCAGAAAGCAAGAGAGGAAGGGCAGGTAGGTGGGGGCAGAGGAGGTGAAGGGCAGTGAACAGGAGTGGGATAGCTGGAAGTTGAGGCTCCCCAACCCACACAGGGCCCCCCCCAGCCTGCCCATTGGCCAACTCACGGCTGATCCAACCGTTCTTTGAGCTTGGCGGCTGGCATGAAGAAAGAATAGAGCATGGATACGCCCTGGGACAGCATGGTGATCTCTAATTTGTGCTCTGTCTGGAGAGGGAGGGAGGGGGCACAGAGATGTCATGGGGGTGGATAGGGCAGCAGTCACCTGCACACCTCACCCCTAAGATGGGGTAAGAGGGTGAGGAAGGGGCCTTACCTTAAAGTAGTCAAGGAACTGTTTGAGGGTCATCTCCTCACCGTTAGGCTGCAGTCCCTGTACCTCAAAGCGATCCCACAATGTCCACTCCTGGTTATAATACTATGGGACAAAGAGGGGAGACTAGGATGGGGGCCACCCCAGAGGGTCCAGGCCCCATCTGTCTCTATCCCCCCCACATTCATGCTCAAGCAGACATGTTAAGTCAGATCACAACCCTAGTTTGCTCAAAACCCTCTCATGGCTCCTATCTTACCCTGAGTTAGCACTGAAACCCTTATGACTGACATGCCCTACACCATTGGAATCCTATTTTCTTCTCATCTCCTACCCTCTCATCCTCTCTCTCACTCTGCTCTACTGACTTTTTATACGTCGAACATGCCAGGTACACCCCATGCCCCTACCTCAGTACCCTTGCAAGGACTCTACCTGGAATGCATCCCCACCCACCAAGTGTGTGTCACTTATCCCCTCACCTCCTCCAAGTCTGAACTCAAATGTCGTCTTTTCTGCAAGGCCTTTCCAGATCATCCCACATTTAAAATCCCAAACCCATCCCCTTGCTCCCTGGTATTCTCAACTCCTCCTTATCCTTTTTTGGTTCCAAAATCATTTAACATGTTATTTACATCACCTATTTGATAAATAGAACCTTAGCATCTGAAAAAGGGCATACCCGCATACTGCAGGTACTCAATAAACATTTAAGAGAATTAATGAATGAAACAAGTAAAGCACTTAGCATAGTAAGCACTCAATAAATGTTGGCTACTTTTATATAGTTATTAATAATATTCCAGGGCACAATTCAAACATCCCATCTTTTTGCAGGTACTCAATGTGATTAATGAATAAAAGAATAAAGGGTACACAAAAAGAGTAGGTACACACAGACTGAAACCTTCACCTGGTGACAGGGTATGATGCAAACTTGAGCCAGCTCTAGTAACACCCCCCCCCAACTCATAAACCTACCTCCCGCTGTGGGCCCTCACCCCCTCACCTGGTGACGTGGTGCAGCAAGGGGTTCAGAGAAACCAAAGAAGGGCAGGGCCAAGTTGAGGAAGCCATTCTTGTAAGAATCAAGCTGTCGGTGCCCCTGCACTACCTTGTACAGCTCCAGACACACAAGGCCAACCACAGCTGCTGTGGTTGTGGCAATGGCTGGGATGATCTTCCCTGCAATCAGCTTGCTCTGTGAGACAGGAAGGGACCAAGGAACATGGTAGTTAAGTTGCAAGAGT